CGGTATAAGTCCCTGCATGTAAGGAAGGAGGACGAGGAAGGAAATTTAAACATCATCTTGATATACAACAGAAGATACAAAAGCAAAGAGGTAGGAGAAGCCATTGCAAAGATAACGGAAAGGTTCGAAAAAGAGTATATAATAGTAGGAGGAGATTTCAACATAAGGACAGGGGAATTAGGAGAAGAAGAGAACGAGGGAGGTGTGGAGAGAAAAAGTAAAGATAAAATAATAAGCAATGGTGGAGACAAATTCATAGGTATAATGTAGGAGAAAGGTTTAAACATTTTAAATGGGAAAGTAGAAGGTGACTGGGAAGGTGAATTCACCTATGTAGAAAGAAGAGGTAGCACAGTGATTGACTATGTTTTTGTAAATGAGCCGATAATGAACAAGATAGTGGATTTTAAGGTAGAAGAAAGAGTGAGAGAGACTCGGACCATATGTCAATCCGCGTGAGGATAAGCATGGAGCAAGAGAAAGATAGAAAATATAGAGGAAGAACAGGAGAGGAGGAGGCACAGAAAGAAAAGAAAGTTATCTGCTGGGACATCGAGGCAATAGAAAGTTTTATTGCAAATACGGAAGAAATAGGCTGGACGGAAGAGCAGGAGGAGATGAGTCTAGATTTTACATGGAAGAAACTAAAAGAGCTAGTAGATAAGGCAATGATAAAAAAAGATATTAGGATCAAAACGAAAAGAATAGGATTCAAGGAATGGTGGGACAGAAGTTGCACAAAGATGAAAAGGGATACCAAGAGAAGCTATAAGAAATGGAAAAGTGATAAAATAACGAGGAAAGAATACTTAGAACAGAAGAAGGAATGGAGAAGGTACATGGAAAAGAAAAAAAAGAGAAAAGAGAAGAAGAAGAGAAAACACTGAAAATGATTAGGACGGAAGCAGAGGTATGGAGGTTTATAAACAAAAGGAAAAGAAAAGAGAAACGAGAGAGCCAAATATAGAGGTGGAGGAATGGAGAAAGCACTTTGTGAATCTGCTAGAAGGGCAGAAGACGCGTGAGAAAGAAGAGGACAAGGGGAACGAGGAATAGGAAAAAGAGGACGAACTAAGAAAAGAGAAGAGGCAAGTGGACGACCCATCGGAAGAAGAAATAAGAAAGGTTGTGAAGAAAATGAAAATGAAAAAAGCAGCGGGAATAGATGGCATTCCAATGGAGGCCTGGAGACTAGGGGGAGAAACGGTAAAGAAGGNGTTGACTGAGGTAATAAGGAAAACTTGGTGCAAAGGAAAGATACCGGAAGAATGGAGAAAAAGTATAATAGTCCCCATATACAAGAGAGGTGATCACAATGTCGCGGCAAATTATAGAGGGATATCACTGCTGTGCACTGCATATAAAGTGTACGCAGAATTGATAAGAAGTAGATTAGAGCAAGAAGTAGAAGAGAAGGAAATGATCCCGGAAAATCAGGCATTAGATCAGGATTTAGAAAAGGAAGATCGACTCTAGACAATATATATGTGTTGAACCATTTGGTCCAGAGGGAAAAAGCCAATGAGAAAGGAAGAGAGAAAGTATACGCACTGTTCATCGATTTGAAAGCAGCCTTCGACAATGTAGATAGGGAGGTGTTGTAGAGAATCTTGGAAAAGAAAGGAATAAGTGAGGAACTGATAACGAAGCTGAAGAACATATACGCGAGAACGGAAGTAGTGGTAAGAACTCCAAAGGGGCTCAC